GGAGCAGGGCGACCCCAGCGCACCTCGGGACAGCACGGTCCCAGCGCCTGGAGCTGCTCTCATGCCAGGACCAACGTCCTGCAGCCACAGCCCGGGCCCTGCCCCATCCGGCCCCTCTAGTGCCCCTTGCCCCCCCCGTGGGCCATGCAGTGACCCCAGGGGCTGCTCTGCTGGGGCAGGGGAGCAGGCAGTGTGGCACAGCCCCGGGAAGCAGACGGCAGCGCGGCAGGCAGAGCTCAAAATACAAGTGGTTTCAGATGCTGCCTTAGTTTAAATACATTACGTACATTTCTACAGTGCATTGGAACGATACATTTCAGGGCTGGCAGATGCAGCCGGGGGGGCGCAGCCCCTCCCACGAGCTCTGGCAGCTCCGGTCACCCCTGTGCCCAAGGGACTGAGCCCTGCCGGCCTGGGGAAGGAGGGTGCACCCCCGCCCCCGCAGGGTCACGCAGCCACGCCTGGCCCCGCAGCCTGCAGGCCCCGCAGCAGCTCCACCCGCCCCAAGCCAAGCAGAGATGAGCCCCCACACCCCACCATGGAGCAGGTGCAGGGCCCAGCAGCAGCACTTTGGCCCCAGCCGCTCAGGGGAGCAAGCAGAGGCACCCTCAGCCCCAAGCCCCGACGTGCAACTCGATGCAAGAGGCAGGGCCCCCCAGGCATTGCGCCTGCTCCAGGGCCCTGCAGCCTCCGGCAGCCCCTTCCCAGCCCATGGCTGCTGCTGCCACCGTCACCACCGCCACCGCCTTGGGCCCCCACCCAGCCCCGTACACCCAACAGGTGCCTCTGCAGCACAGACCCAGGCGTCTGGGAGCCAACTGGATGCAGCCACAGAGAGAAGTGCCAGGCACCGGCTGGCCAGGACGGCTGCCCACCCCCCAGGGAGCAACATGCAGGAGGGGGTGCCAGCACTGGGCCTGCAGTCTGGTGGAGGGGGGCAGCAGGCTACTGGTAACGTGCTGGACGGATCTGGCCCATGCACTCGGAGCTGCACACGGGCTGCACCTGGGGCATCCAGGCAAGGCCTTGTCCATTGGAGCTGGGCAGGGGACTGCTCCAGGCCCTGCCACGAAGGGTCCAGGGCCCTGTCCGCTCACCCGTGGGGCTGAGCTCGGGGCTGAGTGGGGTCCCAGCCCCTCTCAGTCCCAGCCCTGGCGCTACCACCAGGAGAAGAAGGGCTTCCGGCTCTGGAAGCTCTGGGTGTAGGCCTCGCTGGCGCTGCGCTGGTGCGAGCGCGCCGTCTCCACGATCACCGGCGGCATCTGCACCAGGTGCAGGGGGCTCTTTCCGTCCTTCAGCGCTTGCGTCAGGTTCAGGATCTGGGGGCGAGGGAGGGCCCCCGTTCTGGAATCCACTGGATCCGCACCCCAGCCCCAGACACCCCTCCCAGCATGCCCCCACCCCAGAGCCCTGCCCTGCCCTGCCCCACATACCTGCCCCCTCATGACCGCGATCTGCTTGTGGAACTGCCCCCGGTCAAAGCCAGGATCCTTCTGCAGAGATGCACAGGGAAAGGGAAGCGGTCAGCCCCCCCGGGAGACCCCCATAGCAGCTGTGCCCCCAGTGCCCCCTTCAAGCCCCTGGGGGCTGGGTGAGCCGCTCGCTCCCTCCCTACGTCCCCCCTGTGGGCCAGCCACAGGGCCCCGCTGACCTTGAAGAGCTCGTAGAGATCCTCCTCCAGGTCCTTGACGAAGTTGGGGTCCGAGATCTTAGGTAGGATCAGGTCCTTGATCTCCTGCGAGAAGGGCACTTTGGCCTGTGGCAGCCATGCCCAGTAGAAGGGGTCTGCAAAGAGGGGCCAGGGCCGAGGTCAGAGCTCCCCCGACCCTTGCCCCAGCCTGCCTGGGGCCCCGCTCCCTGGTGGGTACAAGCTGGGCAGCACCCGCTGCCCACCCTCTCAGGCCCCTTGTGCAGTTCCCTGGGCAAGCAGGGGGCCACCACAGCCGTGGCACAAGGCCCCACAAGGCTGGCCCAGCCCTGGGCACTCACATGCTCTCCAGGAGTCAGGGTGCTTCAGAGGGAAGGCCAGGCCATTGTCGATGGCAGCCAGCTTGATGATGGGCTCCTTCACCATGACCCAGTCGCTGTCCTGTGGGGAAGTGGGGCCGCGTCACGGGGGGCAGGCAAGCTCCCCGTGCCCAGACCGCTCCCCCTTGCAGAGGCCTGGTCCACCCCTCCACCCAGCCAGGCAGTTGTGCCCTGCCCAGCGAGCATGGACACAGCCCCGTGCAGGCCTCAGCCCATCCCCAACAGCAAGCACTGCCCAGCCCGGGGCCCGCACGGCCGCCTGCTCACCCGCGCACTGGCGCTGTCCAGGGGGCAGTCGTACTTGACGAGCCAGTTGTCATTTCCCCGGTCTGCAGAGAGATGCCGGCCAGGTCAGCGTGCACCCAGCCCATGCTGCTCCGAGTGCCAGCCCCAGGGACTGACGGGCACCCCAGCCGCTAGGAGGGCATCCCAGAGCCTGCACCCAGTGGGGTGGGGGGAGCCGAGCCCTGCCCCAGAGCCCAATGCCCCACAGGGCCAGGGCACTGCTCAGGACGGGGCTCTTCTTCGAGCCCGACATGCAGCGCAGCATCAGGTGCACCTGGTGCCAAGGTCCGACCTCCTGACCCTGGCAGGTGACCCCAGGGGTGCCCTGCCCTCAGGGAGGTGCAGTGCCATCCAGGAGCTGGGCCCAGACCAGAACCAGCGCAGCCTCCAAGGTGGTGACCTCCAGCCCTGCTAGAAACCCCCCAGCGCCCGCGTCCTCACCCGTGTTCCTGATGATGTAGTCCAGCACCACCAGCCTCTCGAACTGCAGCAGCAGCTGCCGGTTCGTGTTCTCAGGCAGCGGCTCGGCCTCGAACCGCCGCAGCCAGTAGTCCGCATCCTTGTAGCCCTCCACGAAGAGCTGGAAGGAGCCCACCTGGGACGGATATGGCCCGTTACAGGGGCCGGCGCGGCCCAGGAGTGGCCGCCGCGGCAATGCCAGAGCCCCTACCTTTGGCGGGAGGCCGATGCGGTGGAAGCGCTGCCCGACCTTGGGCACCTTCTCCAGGGCCAGGCGCTTCCCGCGGGACTTCACGCGGTCGATGGCGCTGTAGTTGAAGGTCTCGCTGGCCAGGTACACCACCTGGAGGGGCCACGGGGGGACCGGTCAGCCAGCTGCTCCGGCCCCGACCCCCAGCAGGTCACCGGTGCCCAGGCAGGGCTGCCTCCCGACCCACCTTTGTGCGGGGCACAATGTTCAGCTCCAGCTTCTGGTCCACCAGGCTGGCACCGGCCTCCGACAGGTAGCCCTGGTTGAGCACAAGGCAGTCGCGCCCGAAGCAGCAGGGGCAGCACAGCTTCTGCAGCCACTTGGTCCATTTGGGGTTCAGCTGCCCGTAGGGCTCCTCGTTCTTGGGCTTGAACACGCCAATGATTTTCTGGAGGGGACAGAGAGCGGCGTCTGGGCCCGGGGCAGCAGGGAGACTACCCCAAAGCCTGTGCGCAAGCCCCGCTCCGACGGCGCTGGGCAGCACCAGGAGCCTGGGCCCAGGCGGGGACTTCCACAGCGCCCGCAGGGACAGCGACCTCTGGGTGCCAGCCTGGCCCTCCCCCTCCACCGCCCGGGGCTGCGGCCGTCCCGGCTCCTACGCAGCATGACTCAGCAGCGCGCGTGACCCCCGGGCCGGGCCGGGCCGGGCCGGCCGGGCGGGCAGGGGGAGTCCCGGCGCCGCTCACCCACCCACCCCCTGCGGGTCCTTGACGAAGTAGCTGCCGCTGG